CTGTTGGCCGAAGAGGGTGCCGCGGTCGCGCTCGGCGGCAGCGCCGCGTGCCCAGGCAACCGACGACGCGGAGCAAAAATTAGCCTGGCGAAGGACCCAACCATATGCAGCTGTGAATACCGCAACTATGAATATCGTCTTCGCCCGCGCTCCTTATCGGGCCACGAACCGTGTGAGGGGCGCGTCGACATGCGTGACGGGGCACACAACGCGAGCGAAGACGATTGATCTGTGTGCGAGAGACTGAGAGCGCGTGGGTCTGATTGTGGATGAGTCTGCCCGCGCGTGAGTCTGCGTGCATAAATGTCGACGCCCATGTCGGCGCGCCTCTCTCGAGGATTCCCGTCATTCTTCTCCCTTTTTGCCCGTGCGCGCCCACGTCCAAGGCTCCGGGCGCGGCGCCGCACGGAGTCCCCGCGACGCGCGCTGGTCGCCCCCAAGGGGTCCCGGCGACGCGTCCCTTAGGGGGGAAAAACAAACTCCTCTCTACCGCGCAACAGCAACGCCCTCTCCCCCCCCCTGATTCCGCCCCAGGGTCTCCGATCCGCTGGCCTGGCCACCCGCGAATATGATAAAAAGGCGAGGCACGACTGCGAGGATTTCAATTCGCTGGGGGGCTTGCTCTGGCTGCGGCAGCTCTTCCCCCGCCCTAAGAAAGGCGGGCGCATGAATCGAATTGCTCTCGGGCGGCGGGGGCAGGCGCGCCCATTGCCGTGCCCGGTGGGTTCGGCAAGTTCTTGCTCGAGCGGGGGAGGGGGAACGTCCTTCGCCCTCCCTGCCAATTAGTTATTTGCCTTCCTCTCAACTTCCTCCATTCCCCTCTCGTTTTTGCCCCCCCGTGCAGCTGTTTTGTTGCTTGCCCTCCCGTCACCTACGGAGGCGGTCTACTTTGGCTGGCTCCGCCCTGTGGCACGTGGCTGAATTTCATCAGCGTCGGCCATGCTCAACGGTTTGCACATCTTATATTCGGCGACGAATCTCCCGAGGACGTGAGTTCGGCCAATGAGGGCGTCACTCTGCTGATGCATGTCGCCATCATGGCAGCGTTTCGAGGGGTGTTTGTGTGCGTTGAGCAGCCAGGGCCCAGGGGCGTTGGAATCGCTCCGCGAGCGGCGAGTTCAAAACAGGATTTAATGTACCTTCGGCTCCTAGGCTTCGATTCTCCGACCCGCGATTTCTCTGCCTTCGGATCCGAAAAGGAAGGATGACCTCGACGTCGCCTCCCGGCCCAGAGAAACCGTGGGGGGAGAAGTGGTTCAGGTCCTCCTTTTGCCTTGGATCGTTGCCCGGTGCCATCCCCGAGGTCTCCTTTGACCAGTGCCCCCCAGGCGATTCGCTCGTGGACCAACATCCCGTTTTTCAAGAGTGGATGTCCATCGCTGGGGCTAGCAAGGTAGTGACTTGGATGGGCGCCTTCGGCGCGGAGATCCCGAACTGCGCGTTTCTCTATTGCGCGCTGCCAGCCGAGGCGAACCTGGCCCTGCGGCGTTCGAGTCCTCCTGCCGTGCATCGGCCTGGAATCCATTAGGTCGACAGGTCGCTCTGTCGTCGGCGCCGTCCTAATCCTCCTCTTGGCCTTTTCTACCCCTTCGTTAGCAGAGTCCCACCTATGTCCCCTTTGCAACCCTTTCCCCTGTCTCCTGCTGTGCCTGCTGCTGTTGCGTTATGCCGCCGATGTTGCTGCTGCTGCTGCCCCCCCTCCCGCCCTTCGAAAGCGCCTCGCTTCTCTGTCCTATCTATCCCTTCCAACGTCCTTCCTTCGGTTTTCCTGCCCCCCCCCTCGCGCCCGCGCGGTGCCGTTTCCGAGGCGGGGGCGCGCTTCGGGCGGCAAGGGCGCGCAGGCCGCCCGGGCGCGCGCGGAGGGCCGTCTGCGTCCTCGGGCGCGCGCCCAGTCAAGGAAGAGGATGGGCGATCGGAGGAAGGCGAGGGGGGTAGGGAGAAGAGGGCGATGCGCAGTAGGAGGAGGGGGGGAGGAGCAGCGGGAGAGGGATCCTCGAGGGGGGGGGGGGGCAGGATGATGGGGAGGTTGAGGAGAACCGGCGAGAAGGCGGAGGGTGAGGGGGGTGGGCGGGGTGGCGCGTGCGCGCATGTGTGTGTGTGTGCGTGTGTGTGTGTGTGTGCGTGTGTGTGTGTGTGTGTGTGTGGGGTTTGTGTGTGTGTGATGATGGGGAGGTTGTGTGGGCGGGGTGGCGCTGTGCGCGTGGTGTGGTGTTGCGATGTAGTGCGTGTGCTGTGCGTGTGCGAGTGCGTGTGCGTGTGCGTGTGCGTGTGCGTGTGCGTGTGCGTGTGCGTGTGCGTGTGCGTGTGCGTGTGCGTGTGTGCGTGTGTGCGTGTGTGCGTGTGTGCGTGTGTGCGTGTGTGCGTGTGTGCGTGTGTGCGGTGTGTGCGGTGTGTGCGGTGTGTGCGGTGTGTGCGGTGTGTGCGGTGTGTGCGGTGTGTGTGCGGTGTGTGTGCGGTGTGTGTGTTGTGTGTGTGTGTTGTGTGTGTGTGTTGTGTGTGT